GGAGCTCTGAGCAGGGTCAAGGGGACTCAGCGTGTGACACAGGGATCAAACCCTCGTCCCAGCTCCTGCCACAGCCCCAGAGCTCTGAGCGGGTTCAGGGGACTCAGCGTGTGACACAGGGATCAAACCCTCGTCCCAGCTCCTGGCACACTCAAGGAGACTCAGCGTGTGGCACGGGCATCAGAGCCACATCCCAGCTCCCAGCACAGCACAGGAGCTGTGAAGGGAACTCAGCGTGTGGCACAGGGATCAAACCCTCGTCCCAGCTCCTGGCACAGCACAGCTCTGAGCAGGGTCAAGGGGACTCAACGTGCCCAAGCCGAGCTTATCCCGGCCCTTTCATGTCGCTGCCGAGCGCGTGGCTCTGGATCCAACAGCGCCGGCTTGAGAGAGGCTCAAACCAAGTCCAGCAGAGACCAAACTGTGCAGGAACAATGCAGCCTTTTCCAAACACTTCAGTGCCCACAAAGAATCCATCAGATCCTCACGCTGCAGGTCACTGCCAGTCAGCCCCCTCGAGCCGGAGGACAGATCACGGTCACGGATGTCGGTGATCGCTGCGGCACTGGGGGTGGGCACAGCCCTCTCCCCATGGCCCCCCCTCCATGGCCCCCTCCCCACAGCCCCCTCCCCACTCGTGTCCCCACGAGTGTCACCTGCGCGCTGTCCCCCTCCAGCCGTGGGGGTCGGATGCTGGACAGGTGGATGGTTTTGTGGTCCCCAGAGTTGAGCTTCACCACGATGGCGTCGGCGTTCAGCACCTGCATCACCTGGGGATGGAGAGGGGCCGTGGTGAGTGCCAGGACTGCGGCACGCTGGGCACACCCAGAGCCAGGCACTGCCCTGGCACCGGCTCTGGCACCGGCTCTGGCACCTGACCCACCCCAGCTCGACCCCCATCCTGGGTGGTGGGGGGTCACTGCAGGGAACGTGCCTCACTGGCACTCCCGTGGTGCTGCTCTCCTAGCCCAGGAGCTCAGCACTGCCCAGAGCCCTGCCAGGTCCCTGCATGGTGACACCGTGTCACACCAGCACGGCACCAGCTGTGCGTGTCCCGTGCCAGGACTCACCCCCAGGGTTTCATTCCAGAAGCACCATCAGCTCCATACCGGACAATGGACAACACACGTGCAGGAGGGAGGGAGCACAGCCCGTGGGGGGGACTCTGCCACCCATGGCCTGGCTGCCGGGTCCCCAAAGGGTCAGGGAGCAAATTCGTTATAGTCATAAAACCATGGAATCCTAGAATGGTTTGGGTGGGAAGGAACCTTAAAACCTCACCTGATTTCACCCCCTGCCACGGGCAGGGACACCTTCCACTAGCCCAGGTTGCTCCAAGCCCTGGCCAGCCTGGCCTTGGACACTTCCAGGGATCCAGGGGCAGCCACAGCTTCTCTGGGCAACCTGGGCCAGGGCCTCCCCACCCTCCCAGCCAGGAATTAGGCACTGGAAGGGGCTCTCAGGTCTCCCTGGAGCCTTCTCTCCAGGCTGGACACTCGCAGCCTGGCTCCAGAGCTGAGGGGGCTGAGGCAAGCAGGAGGAAGGCAGTGGGGCTCACTGGGAATATTAAACACTGCTTTAATATTCCCAGTTTCCATTACCCTCTGCTCTCCAGCCTGGCCGAGTGGAGCCAGCACAGCAGGACAAAGCACACGGATATTCCCACTGGCAGGACATGGTCCTTTCCCCTGCCCTGTCCCAGCACAACCCGACTCCCTCCAGTCACACCAGGGCAAAAGGCTCCTGCTGTCGCTCATCCACGTGATCCCAGCCCCACACATCCCCCTGGAGCCCGGGGGAAGCGGAGGGAGGAGGGCACAGATTTGCTTCACACGCAGCACTTTTTGCCCCAGCAAGCACATCAGCCCCTCCAAACGTGCTTTGCCAGAGGGAAAACAGGACTAAAGGAATTCAGATTCGAGCAGACACTGCGGATCACCAGGGCACAGCAAACCCCCCGGGGACGGCCCTGCCACGGCCTCGGCCTCTCCCGGCACCCAGATCCTTGATTTTTCCTCGGCACAAGGAGCCCAAAGCCGTTTTCCTGCCAAGTGGAGTAATCAAATCTCATGCTCCAGGGCATCCCCAGCGCTGCCGGCGCGAGGAGGGACCCGGCCTCTCTCCCTTCCCTCACACAAGACTTGGGAAAAGCAAGATGTGCAGCTGAGGCGTCACAGGCAGGGCCGGGCGCGGGGGCACATCCCGCGCTCCATTACACAGCCCCGGCCCCCGCTCACAGCTCGTTTGGGCGCTGGCAGGAGGCGGCAGCTCCCGGCACCGCGGCCCCGGCACGGCCCGGCATCCCTGCGGGAACAGCAGCTCACTGCCTGAGCCCCCCCAGCCCCCGGCACGGCCCAGCACCCCTGCGGGAACAGCAGCTCACTGGCTGAGCCCCCCCAGCCCCCGGCACGGCCCGGCATCCCTGCGGGAACAGCAGCTCACTGCCTGAGCCCCTCCGGCTGCCCCGGCACGGCCCGGCATCCCTGCGGGAACAGCAGCTCACTGCCTGAGCCCCCCCGGCTGCCCCGGCACG